CCCATGGGCGGACAGAGGCCGTTCAGTCGGGGTGTTCCCTGCATGGAGGATTCCTCTGGTTCCGAGCCAGGGCTCTGCTTGCTGGCCCTCCGTTTCTAAGGAACGTGGTAGCAGCAGCCATCCTGCTGCTTGTTACAGTGCGAGATCCCCGTTTTGGCCCCCGGGCCCTGCTCCCCGAGACTCCCCCATCTCCGTCCAGTGGCCGTCTCACTCTTCCCTGTGGGGTCCCTGACCTGACGTCCTGACGCCCAGGGGCTTTCCGGCCGGCGCCCCCTACAGCCCTCAGCCCCATCTCACAGGCCTCCTTGGGACTGTGTTCCTCTGACCTCGGCACCTCTATTGCCCCTCTGAGCAGGCCCAGCGGTGGCCAGCAGCTCACATGCCCCCACCTTCCCTCGGATCCTCATGACAACCTGTCTACAGATGAGAAGCAAAGGGGTGTCAGCTGGAAACCGGAGCCCAGGGACAAGTGCATGCGCCCGTCCTTGGTGCTGTGGTGGAGGGGGTGGTGTGCCAGTCCCTCAGGCCCTGCTGCTCCCTGCTGGCCTGCAGGGCCTGACCCTGTCTCAGTGCCAGAACCTGCTGTCTCTTCCCTGCTAGGCTGTCACGTCCCCTAATTTTGTGATTTCCAGTTTCTATTATCTTCCCTTCTTTCTACCCTTCCTTCTTTGGAGGGGGAAGGGGAGAATAGATGTTCAGTGGTTTGTGGATTTATGCAGATTTGCTCTAGTATTCTATCTTATTTTCTGACAATATTTCTGCAGCCTTTGTCTCAACAATTTAGACAAACAGTTTGGCTGGAGGCTGCCAAGCCAAACAGTTCGTTTGGCTGCATGCACTCCCCTTTACTGAAATATCCCACATTCCTCTCCAGTGAGGGGGCCGTAAAAATAGATGCTGGCCTCAGTTGTGGTGATTCTGTTCTGTTTTTAGAACAGATGTGGCCAGCTGAGACCCAGTTCCCCATGCAGGCCACCGCTGCCTGGCCCGGTCCTGGCAGTGGACTGACCTTGGGCGCATCCCCCCGGCCGCAGCCAGCGCCTGGACGGCGAGGGGCTGTCCGGGGTCCGCCGGGGTGGGGGCGGGGGGGTGGGCGTCCTGCTTACGCCCACACTGCTCCCGCCTCACAGGTGGAGTAGGACAGTGGGCCGGACCCACCCGGCTTCCTGTCCGTGCCCAGCAGGAGAGCCAGAGCCCATTACTATCAGCTTTTCTTCTCAGGCAGTGTCCTCTGCTGGCCCCCCTCGGTGCTGCTCAGTGAGGGGCCCAGGCCAGCGTCACCTCCTTTCCCAAGAGCTCCGACTCCACACCTGGGAAAATAGGCTTTTTTTTCCAGAAATAAAAAAACTGCATCTTAAACTTCATTGTCTTTGCGCTTTCCCGTGCTCATCACAGGGTCCAGGAGTGGTCCCCCAGCTAGCCTACCCTTTCTGCAAGGCAGGGCTGCCCCCCTCTGGCCCACTGACCTGCCCTGGGGAGAGCAGGTCCCCCTCCAAGCCGTGTCCAGTACCTCCAGTATGGGTACAGCCTTGAAAAGCGTGAGGTCAGAGCCCGCAGCAGCCCCGGGTCACAGAGGAGTCCGTGGGACAGGACAGCGGCTCCACAGCAGTGCCTCTGGCCAGTTCAGACTCCACTGCCCGACCCTGGGCTCCCAGAGTGGGGACTCCAGTCACGTGGGCTCCGCTGTTCCAGGCACAGACACCACCTGCTTGTCCCAGCCACGGGCAGCGTGCCGTGACCTGGTGACCAGAGGGGGCGCAGGAGGGGCACCTCTGTGCGTCCCGGCTGGGTGTCTAGTGGGCCTGGGGCCCGGGGAAGCGGGCCGCACAGCCAGCAGAAGCCGCCCGGCCCGTCGGGGAGAGAAGGGGGAGCGGCCGGCAGGAAGAAGGCCCGGGTGGGGCGGAGTCAAGGAAGCCCGGGGCAGTAAGACGACTTTGGGGTAGCCAAGGCTGTCAAGTGCACGGGAGGTGCTGCCTCACGGGATCCGCACACTGCGTGTTTTGCAGGTGAGTGTGGAGCCGCTTCTCACCCTTGCTCCTGGTGTTGCGTACCTCCAGAGCCCATTTCACGCGTAACCCCTCCGGGGGGGACGGGACTGACACCCTGGGTCGCGGTCCTGGGAGGAACGGCCTTGCCCTGCTCCCCACCCTCCGCCGGGCATCTGCTGGGGTTGTGGCCGGGGGCTGATACGGGAGCCGGACAGGAAATAGGCCCTTCGCTCCTGTTCGCTTCACTCCCCCTCCTTCCCAACAGGTGTGTGTTTAAATACAAATAACAAACCCAAATCAGAGGACTCTCTTTTAAAGAAGATGGCAGTCACATTTTATTTGCAGAGTAAAAACAACATACACCTGGGGAAAAAGGCCCAGAAGCAAACAGGCCAGGACTTCTTATTCTCCAAGTGTCCCGGGTCGCTAGTCCCCTTTCCCCGGAGCCCCCCAAACCAGCTAGCCGCGTCTGTCAGCAGAGCCCTCTCCTCCCGCCAGATGGCGCTCTCCCGGGGGAGCTGTCCCACGGTCCCCGATTGCCCAGGTCGCTGCTTGGGTGCCCTTGCAGCGGTGGCCCGAAGCAGTCTCGGAACTGCCGCGGCCGCCTGTGTCCCCAGTGTCCCCAGTGTGCCCGGCTTGGCCTGTGGCTGCCCTCTGCGTAGACAGATGTTTAGCTTAGTCTTCCGGAGGCTCCTATGCGGGGATCCCCCCTGGAGGGATTGCCTAAAAAGCCTGGGGTTTGACACACTGCTCACTCTTAAGTGTCTTCTATACACTGCAGTTTCCACATAAAAGTCAACTCTGTTCTCTAAGTCTTGGTCCCTACTTCTGAGATATTTTTAGCATTTTGTTTGTTTAAAGAAAACATCATCTCTGCCCACAGTCTCCCTGTTTTCTGTTGTGGAATTTGGAAAAATGCAGGTATTGACAATGGTTCACCCAGAAAGTGTCCTTTAAAAATCAAGTTAGATCGTTGACACCCTTATGGAAATCCTGTTGTGTGCATGGCTCTGGTTAACATGGACGATGTCCCTGGCGGCTGCTAGCTTTTATGCATGGCATGCTGCCCGGCATGGCCTCAGGCCTTGGAATCATCGATCCAGGGTAAAATCCCAGCTGTGCCATTTCCTAATGGGCTAGTGACCCAGGACGGTTCACTCAGTTGCTGCAACCCCCCATTTTCTCACTTGTAGAGTGGAAGTTAAAAAATAAGAAAACTAAAAACCCAAAAACAAAAACATGCCTCTCAGTAATCTGCATTTGTTCTGAACCAGAGCTTCAAGCAGCCTTTGTGATTTGAGCTCTAGTTCTTCACGGCCTCATCATCTCATCTTCTGCCTTGAGGAGAGACCTCTGGCCATCAGAACTCGGGCTTTTAGGAGAAGTCTGCTTTTGTGTTTTGATGTTTCACTTCTGGAAATCTCTCTGAAGAAATGAACTCCCGCTGGGGTAGAGCTATATGCATGCAGATGTTTTGTGGCAACCTTAATTAAAACAACACAGGTTAGAAGCAGCAGATTGTCTGTCCAATAATAAAAAAGTGGTTAAGTAGATAGTGGGACCAGCTGCTCAGCTGTCTTGCACCCCTTAAAAATGATGGTTATAGAGACTATGTAACACCCTGGATGATGCTTGTGATTTATATGGAAAAAAATGCCCCAAATTATATGCATAACAGAACTGCAACCTCATAAAATATGGACATGGAAAATATTACACAAGAATATAAAAAACAGTGGTAGTCATGGGAAGAAACGAATTTTTTCCTCTTTTTTCTAATTCCCAAACCTTCTGTATTGTAGTTTTATTAATTGTTTTTTAAGGGGGCATTGTATGAGGGAGCACAAATAGTGAGGAGGAGAAAAGGTTTCAAGACTGATTTTAGAAATGATTGGGATCAGAAATCGCTTGTTCCGCAGAATCTGGGGGACGATATCCTCCGGTGTGAGGGGTTTAGGGTTCCACCTAATGACCAGTTTGCCGGAACATCTCCACGCTGTCATTTTGGAGGTCGCCGTGCCAGTGGCACCGAATCAAGTACAGCATTTCTGGGGCGCCCAGTTGCAGGGTACGGGCTGTGCAGGTACCAGGCCATGCCCTGGCCTCTGGGGTCTGTGATCTAAGGTGGTGACGGGGCCCTGGCTGAGAGGAGCAGGACCCGGTGAGAGCCGGGAGCGGGGCCGCCTGGGGGGTCTCAGAGAAGAGCCCTGCAGCCGTGGGGTCTTGGTCCGGCAGGCCGCAGCTCGGGGCTCAAACAACGGCATTTATTTCTTGCAGCTCTGGAGGCTGGAAGTTCAAGATCAAGGCGCTGGCGTGGGAGGTCTGGTGGGAGCCCTCCTCCTGGCCTGCTGCTGTGTCCTCACATGGAGGGGGAGGTCTTCTTTTACTCTCCTGATGAGGGTGCTGGTCCTATCGTGGGGTCCCCTCAGGACCTAAGCACCTCCCAAAGTGCCGCCTTCTAACCACACCACTGGGGGGTGTTTAGAGCCGCAGCGGGTGACTTTGGGGTGCACAGACGTGCAGTCCTCAGCAGGCCTGAAGGTGGAGGGCTGGGTCTCTGCAGCTGCCCTCAGGCCTGCCCTTGACCTCGATTCAGTCCATGAAAGCAGGGTCTGGCTCTGGGGTAAAGGAGGGGAGGCCGGGTGGGCCAGGTATGACCCTCACCGCGGTGCTGTGTTGCCTGAGCCATGTGCCCCCTCGTCACCTCCCAGCGAGGGCGTCCCCCACCAGGCAGCTCCTCAGGAAGGTTCTGGAACCACCTCAAGGAGACGCTCACCGCGCAGAGGATGTTAATCCTGAGTGAGAGCTGGAGCGTGAGCCATTCATGGTGCCTTCGCACAGCCGCGGCTGGCGCCCTGTTGCAGGGGTGCGGTGTGTCCTGGAAGTCACCCCTCAGGGCAGAAAGCCAGAGTGCTGCTGCTGGGGGTGGTGTGTCGGCGGCGAGGGGGCTGGCGCAGCTGTGCGGGTGGTGATGAGGGCCACTCTCTTTTTTTCTCCCGTGTTGGGCTGCAGAGCCAGATGGAGTTCAGCGTGTCCTCCTTGTCCATCCAGGAGCCAAGTGGCGGCACCGCCTGCGAGGTGCGGTGCAAAACCTCTCAGGGGGCGCAGATGCCCCGGGCCCCCCAGGGTGGCAGATCGTCCAGCCTGGATGCTCTGGGACCTGCCCGGAAGGAAGAGGAGGCCTCCTTCTGGAAGGTCAACGCAGAGCGGTCCCGGGGGGACGGGCCCCAGGCCGAGTTCCCGTCGCTGACCCCCAGCCAGATCAAGTCCATGGAGAAGGGAGAGAAGGTCCTGCCTGCCTGTTACCGGCAGGACCCGACCCCGAAGGACAAGGAGGCCACAGCAGAAGGGCCGGGCATCCTCCACCAGGAGCAGTATGGCCTTCCCAGCATGGGCACCGAGCACGAGAGACCCCAGCCCAGCCAGGCCTGCACCGCCACCGCAGGCGACGCCACCCCCTCCGAGCCCGCAGGGGAGCCGCCTCCTCCCGAGGCCAGGCAGGAGGCCAAGGAGGACACTCTGTTCTCAGAAGCCATGCCTGCACAGGTGGGTGGCGCCTTCCTCTGGGAATGACGGGGGAGGCCTCCCTGGGATGGCCGGCTGCAGGTGCCCACACTCCCTGCCCACTCCTCGGAGGTCAGGAGAGCTGGGTTGTTACTCAGCTTGGTCACTGACAGGTGCACACGGAGACCTGTCTGTAAGTCCGTCTCAATGCCCTGACTTGTTTGCTGCCAGGTGGTGTGGCCCTGGTGCCCGCTACCCTTCCCTGGGTGCCGGAGGGCAGGTACAGGAGGGGTTGGTTACAGGACTTGCAGGGGAGGGCTGTCCACGAGGGAGGGTTCAGATGCCTTTGAGGTGGGCTGGGCTGTTGGCCAGGAGGGGATCAGTGTGTGCCCCACTGTTTCTCTCCATTTTAGTGTCATCTGGACTCCCTTTTATTTTTTAAATATATGTCTTTCATCTTGAAAATCTGAAACTGTCCCCATTGAACACCGACTCCCCAGCCCTAACCCCTCCCTCGCACTCCCTGGTTCCCATGCTCATACTTTCTGCCAGTGAATTTGACTAGTACTTCATGTAAGTGGAATCTTAAAGTATTTGTTTTTTTCCATCTGGCTTATTTTGCTTAGCTTAATGTCTTTAAGATCCACCCCAGTTGTAGCATCTGTCAGAATTTCCTTTTTAATGCTGAGTAATATTCTGTTGTGTAGATGTACCACATCTTGTATATCCATTTACCTGTTGATGGACATTGGGGCTGCTTCCCCCTCCTGGCTGTTGTGAATGTTGCTGCTGTGAATGTGGGTGTACAAATATCTGTTTGAATCACTGCTTTATATATATTTGGGATATAGACCAGAAGAGGAATTGGTGGGTCATGTGGTGAATCTATGTGTAGCTTTTGAAGCCATGCTGTTTTCCTTCATGGCGAGCTCAGCTGCCAGCAGCGCACGAGAGCCCATCTCCTCCACATCTCAGCTGCACTTGTTTTCGTCCTACTTTTTTTGACAGTAGCCACCCTAATGGCTGTGATATCTCTGTCTCTGTGTGGCTTTGATCTGATTGTCTCTAATGGGGATGTCAGCATCTTTTCATCTTGCTTATCGGCCATCTGCATGTATACTCTGGAGAATGTCTGTTCGGGAGGCTTGCCCGGCTGTCACTGGGTGTGTGCTCTGTCGTTGTGGCCATCCTCGGGCGTCTCCTGAGTGGGACCCCACCTTCCACGCCTGTCTCCGCAGCTGAGCCCGCCAGCTGTCCTCAGGAGGAGCAGCCCTTGGTGGGAGCTGCCTCGCCAGCTCCCGCCAGCTTCCCCACGCCCCCTCAGCCCCGCACTCCTGCCCTGTCTCTGACCTTCCTGCATGGGCTCCTTACAGGCCCACTCAGCTTGCCTCTATCTCCGTCTAGTGACCTTTCTCTGATGCTGTGCAGCTGGGTCCTCTAGAGGAAGCAGTTCTATGAAAGACGTGAGTCTTCATTGTAAGGGAATGCAGGAAAGTGTGCGTGGGGGAGTGGAAAGGTCGGATAGAGCACACACAATCCTCTGAAGGAACAGATGTCTGAGTGCACAGAGTGCACTGCCACCACATGTAAGAAACTGGTAGGAAACCGGCAAAAGGAAACCGTGCCTGAACACCTCCGGTATTCCATGTTTTGGCTCACTGTGCATCCATCTCAGATGCAGCAAAATTGGCCTGAGATGAGCTTCAAGTGAAGCTGCTCAGCTATTGCCTGCCGTTTCCTCCGTGTAAGCATTTTCTGTTTGCCAGCTGTGTGGAAGGTAGAGTGTCAAAGTGTCCTTGCCCAGGAAGGCTGCAGCCCACCAGGGGAATATCTGCCTGTGTTCGGCCAGAGGAAAGGGTCTCACAGGTCACAGGTGGCTGGTGGAAACCTGCTGCAATGTGTCTGAATACAGCAGCAGCTTGAGAAAGCCCGTGCTCACAGAGGGGCTCTTCCCATCAACCCCGTGTTCCTCAAGGGGGTATCCTTGGCCTGAACAATGGCTCTGGGTTAGGGGAAATCACCTCAGAACCTTTCCCACAATCTGAAAGAAAAAGCTGTACATCCCTTCCCCATATTTTTGATTTCCTCAACTCTGAAAGTTCTTTTTGTTTTGTCTGTATGTGTGTGTGTGTTTTACATTTGAAGACCATTTTATAATTTTTTCTGTTATTCCATGACTAAATTTAAACATGCCTGTCATTCAGAAATAGAAAAGATACACTTTTCTCCTTTTCTCTGCAGGTGGGTCTGTTAAGCTGCTCGCGGGGCATGCCTGGGATCAGAAAGAGGGACGTGTCGGATCTTGGCAGAGTGTAGCTTGCCCTGAGTTCTATTTAACTTTCTGGTTCCAGGCACAGAGGCAAATTGAGGTCAGGGAGCCTTGGAGACAGAGGCAGGCTGTTTCATTTGGGTCATTTTAAATGAGATGCTGTTTTTAGATTATGCATAATTCTCATGCCTCACTTTGGTATTTTTGTCCCTTCTACAGGTCAGCTCAAGTAATGTCATCTTGAAGACAGGATTTGATTTTCTGGACAACTGGTAAAATGTGTGAGACAAAAAAAAATCATAATACAACTCAGAAGCCCAAGATGTTTTCCACAGTGGTGTGGTAGACAGGGGGGAAAAGGGCCACACTTCCCTGTGTGTTTTCATGTTTTCTCTACACTCTTTTGGAATCATTTGGAAACTGGTAATATTGCCTTGTCCAGATTTCCAGATTCTAACCTTTTTGGTAAGACCAGATAAATATGCTGTCTCCCAGGATTTGATAACAAAAGTTTCACATTTGGAATTTTTAAACACCATCAGGATTTTAGCGAGTCTTGTTAATTAACACTTCTGTTTCCAGTTAGTTCTGCCCAATTTTCTCCCTCCTTAAAGTTTCCTCAACCGTGTCACAAAAATCGTAAAAGTAACTTTCAACTCCTTTTCTTTTTTTCCCCTCCCTTTAAAAAATGTATGGGGTTAACTTTGACGGGTGACGGTTGGTGATGGCTCCGCCATGTGACACTGGCACCCTAGTTGTGATTGCGGGAAGATCTGCCCCCTTGACCTCTTGCCAACGCCCAGGGCTTCACTGCCGAAGGCCACATTTCTCCCGTTGTGCACCACCCTCCACCCTTACGTCTTTTCCGGAAAACGGACTGCTGTGGCACGGCGGAGGTTGTCTTTAAGCTGCCCTGATACCTATTCAAACGACACATCCTTGTTTAAGAAGAGTTGCATGCTTAAAAATTTTACGTTAACTTTTCATTACTTTGTATCTAGATTTAGTGGTTGTAGCGCTTCTGTTTTTCTTGGGTTTGTAGCGGTTCCCTTTTGGAACTTCTTTGAGGCTTGGGTGCCCCTCCAGACGGCCCCTGTCCTGGCCTCCGCAGGAGGAAGGGCCGTTCTGCTCAGGCGTGGAGGACAGAGCTCTTCTGATCAGTTGTGTCAGAACCTTCCCGTGTGAGACTGGTGGGGGCAGTCGACGTCCTTGGTCCCGAGGACGAGGACGGCTCTGCTGCGTCCCCCGACCCCGACCACGGGCAGAAGTGGAGTGCGTTCTGCACGGCCCAGCAGCGCCCCCTGGAGACCTCTGTGGCGTCTCTTGGAGCTGGACCTGCTGCCTGCCCGCTGCTGCTCAGGCGGAGGCAGCTCCCAGGCGAGCTGTGCCCCGGCCGGTGCAGGGCGGCGAGGTGTGGGCGCCTTACCCTGACCAGTGGGCCCTGAGCTGCCCGAGCCTGCAGGACAGGCCCGAGTGTGACACACACGCCACTTCTCACTGTGTTCCTCTCACCTGAAGCCTTAATGCCACGAGTTCTTCCAGCGAGCGCCTGGTTTCACATCAAAGGTGTCTTTTTAAAAATGCCTGTTTAATAGAATCTTCTGAAATGATTTCCAGAATATTTTATCTTGCTCTAAGGTAAAGCACATGGCAGCCTTTTTTTCCAGGAAAGTTTCTGCCAAAGCTATGGCCTAGGCGACTTTTGGTTTGGTTTCTGTCAATTGTGTAATCCCCCTAAATCTCATTTGGCCCCTTGGGGTCTCGGATTTGACCTTCCTCTTTGGTGGCTGACTATATCATGGCACATCCAGGCTCTTCCTGTGCTGTTTGAGGATGGTTGAAACATGCAAGGGAAAAGGGGTTTTAGCATGGTGGGGAGGGGATAAGATCCTAGAAATCCAGCTGTAACGGCATGGCAGGTGCCAGCCCCTCTGGCCAGCTGCTGGGCTTACCACCTGCCCCTCCTTCAGCCCCTAGGGCAATGGCTGCTTTAGAGCCCATATGCTTGAAAGGGGCACAGGCTTTTTTTAAGGGTCCCTTTAAAAAAGATGTGCAGCCTTGAGTTTGTAGTCCTTGGTGTTAGTGTAGTAGGGAAAAAAGATTATATCCTGGGACAGTTAGCCCAAAGTGATCAGTCTGTACTTTTGGGAGGGGGTTCTAGTTCCTCTCCCACTCTTTCTGTAAAGCCCAGTATGCCCTTCAGGTTCTCCTGGGAGCTGAGGGGGAGTGGGGATTGTTGAAAGCTCCTGCCCCCTTTAGTACCACGTGGGGCCCAGCACCCAGCAGTGTTCAGGTGTCTCTTAGAATGGTGTGTAGAGTTCCATGTAGTGCAGCCTCCTGGGAGTAAATGCAGCGTCGGCCCTCAGAAGGCCTGGAGGGAGTCCTGGAGTCAAACGGTGCTGCCTTGTGCTGCCTGTGGAGATACAGGGTGTGGGAGAGATGAGGCCCGGGAGGGCACATGCTCGTGGGTCGCCTGCCACCTCACCTGCATATCCTGCTCTTAACCCAGGGTGGTCTGGGCAAAGGTGGTCCCTTTCCCTGCCTGCTCGGTGTCTGTGTCCTGTGTATCCAAGTAAGGGAAGTTAAGCTCCTATTTCCCCATGGATAGGACGAATTTTGTAAAACCGGAAGTTTGTCTCTATGACTTAAAAAATACACTGTCAGCTAGTGTGTGTGCGCTTTGAGTGCCCCGGCCCCCAGCCTTCTCCGCACCTGGGATTCAGCTCAAGGATTCAGTGTTTTGCTTTGGGTAACTTTGGGGTATTTTCAGAGCTCTGCCCCAGGAAGTTAGAAACCAGTGCCTGTTCTTTCACCTGGCGGCCCCTCACCCCATGCTCTGGTTTGGGGGTGCTGCCCACCTGGGGACCTGTGGGGGTCTGTCACCTAGCTTGCGCCACACCCCATGCGGATGTCAGAGCCACCTCCTTTCCTCTGCGCCTCCCTTCCTTTGATACGTTTTCAAAAATGAAAAATTCTTCCTGACTACTTGTAACTTGGTTGTATTTTATATTAATAGCCTTTAATAAAGCCATTTAAACTATTCTATTTGTGTCTGTTTTGGGCATCCACTGAAGTCGGGTCACATCTCTGGGTGCCTGTAATGCAGGCAGGCTGTGGCAGCGTCTGTCATATGGCAAGGGGCCCTTTTGTAAAGAATGCCATCTCTGGGAAGGGAAGACCTCTCCTTCTGGGGACAAGCAAGCCAGCTTGGAGGAAAAGTCATCTTCAAAATGTGCATCAGAAGCAGTAGGGGGAGTGAGCTGTCCTGTCTCGCCGTAGCTTTTAGAGCACTTGGCCCAGGATTCCCCCTCTCCAGTATTCACACCCCTCTCTCCAAATTGGCATGAGCCTGCTATAAGATAACATTTTTTAAGTTTCTGGCACAGAGTAGTCCCTCAGTAAGAGTGAGAGGAACCCACCGTCCTTCATAGTGTGGTTTTAGGCCTGTAGGTGCGTTTAAATGATGTTCTTCACAAAATATATCTACATATGAGACATTTAAAAAATCATTTAAAAAAATTGTAGGGTGCTTTAGACACAGAGCAAATGTACTTATTTCAAAGCCTGTAATTCACAGCCTGTGAAGCATGTTAAAATCATGTTTCTTCAGACCTCAGGAATCTTAATACCCTGAAGGGTGCCTGGCCCGCCCCACCTTTGGGCTCCACCTTGCCGTGAGCACTGTCTGCCAACCTGGTGGTCTGCTGGGAAGTCCGTGGGCTCTGGAGGCAGACAGGTGCGTGTGAAGGGACGTGTGCACTTAGCAGCTCTGCGATCTGTAATGGGTAGATTTTCCTATGTTCTGCCTCTGCGCAATGAGCCAAACATTCCACCTCAGCGTTATGAGGCTTCCCGAGAACAGGTTTGGGAATCTCAGCCCTCAGGGGTGGTCATCAGCACTTCACTTCCCCCTGCCCTTGAGGTGATGGGGCTGGGGTGGGCTAGTTCAGTGGTAATGCCACTGAGTCATGGCCACATCTAGGTGGGGACTGGACTCCCCAAGTAGTTTTCAATCTGTGATATTTGAATTCCTAAAACTCGGAGGGGCTACTTCAGGGGCCACCTTGCGGGGGGTGGGGGACTATTCTACTCCTTCAATTAGGAAGCCCTAATTTGATGTCTTCCCTACACTGAGGCTTTGCATCATATCTTTGTTTTGAAAAAGGTTCCAGGGAAAAAATGAAGGTTGGAGACCCCTGGTAGTGTAAGCGCTTGGAGCTTGGGTTCTGCACATTCCCCGAGCCTAAGGCGTTCGCCTCCCACTCAGTGCTGGTCTGGCCCAGGCTCGTAGCTGCCCCAGGTTGGAAGGAGCTTTACAGGACGTACTGGTCCTGCTGTTGGATAGACTGGGCTGTCCCCTAGGGCAGCCACTGGCTACGAGTAGCTGCCTCACACTTGAAATGGGGAGAGTGCTGAGACATGCTGGAAGTGTACCATGCACACCGGATTTCCAAGGCTCAGTGTGAAAAAGAGAAGGTAGAGTATTTCTTTGCTAATCTTGTTATACTGATTACTTGTTGAAATAACACTTTGGATATATAGGTAAATAAATGCAATGTTAAAATTACTTTCACTTGTTTCTTTTTATATTTCTAAATGTAGTTGCCAGAAAATCACAGATTTTCCAAAGAAGGTACACAAATGGCTGACGGGTACATGAAAAGGTGCTGTCATCACTTAGCAGGAGGGAAGTGAAACCCAAATCACAGTGAGATGTCACCTCACACCTGCTGGGAGGGCTGTTACCAAAAGGCAAGAGGTGACAAGTGTTGGCAAGGATGCAGAGAAAAGGGACCCTTGTGCAATCCCAGTAGGAGGTGAATTGATGCAGCCACTGTGGAAAGCAGCTTGGAGGTTCCTCAAAAAATTAAAAATAGAAGTACCATGTGACCCATGGTATTTTGGGTATTTATCTGAAGGAGAAAAATCACTTTTAAAAAGATATTTATACCCCCAGTTTCACTGTAGCATTATTTTCAATAGCCAAGACATGGAAGCAACCTGTGTCCATGGGTAGATGGATGGATAAAGAAGATGTGATGTACATATATGTACAGTGGAATGTTATTCAGCCAAAATACATGATGAAATGCCATTTGTGACAACATGGATGGACCTCAAGGGCATTATGCTCAGTGAAATAAGTCAGACAAAGACAAACACTGTATGATCTCACTTATATGTGGAATCTAAAAAAAAAATTAAACTCAGAAAAAGAGAACAGGTCAGTGGCTGCCAGAGGTGGGAGGATCGGGGGCAGGTGAACTGGGGGAAGGTGGTCCACAGGTGCAAGCTTCCAGTTAGAAGGTTCTAAAAGATCACACCTGTGCCGCACATTATGTTTCTGTTGGGTAGCACTGCGTAGAGCTCCGTCCCTTCAGGAGCGATCTCCCTGCACATCCCTCCCAGCCCGCTTGTGCAGCAGCTCCATGCGGGGTTGGGGTATGGACTGCATGCCCCCCCAGGCATGTGGATAGAAGGCTTAAGTCTCAGCCTGTTATGTCCTATGTCCCTGTGACTTTCTGCAAGTCTGTTTCCTTCTCTGTGACATGAGCACCCTGGCCGGCCCCACACAGTTCTTGTGATGCGCAGACCAGACAGTGAGTGAGACCCTCAAGTGGATGTCATTACCCCATCGTGAGAATGAGGAGGCCCAGAGAAGGGAAGTGTCTCCATGCTGGGCCAGTGGGCTTTCCTCTCACCTGCAGGGAGTCCCCCACTAACCTCACAGCTGGCTGCACGTCCCCCTGACCTGCTGCTCCAGGGGGCGGTCAGATCAATGTGACAGAAGACGGCCCCTGCCAAGGGCAGCTTTGCCTTTTGGCCCGTCCCAACCTTTTGGGAATTCGAGCAAAACTGACCTCAAGGAATTGTACAAAATGGTCCCCAGGTGGAGCAGCTTATTTATGGCAGCAGCTTTTCTTGCAAATAAGCAGCGGGCCCCGAACCTTCTCCAGGCGTCTCTGTATAATGCTCCCTGCATGCCTAGAAAGATAGTGAGCAGCAATCTCACTCCTTTCCCGTTGAAGAAACAGAAGAACACACAGGCTGAGTGTTCAGAGGCACCTGCCCAACAGCAGCAGAGCCAAGAGCAGCAGGCCGGGCCTCGGGAGTGAGGGGGTGAGGCGAGGAGGGCTGCCTGTGGGAGGCGGAGGCATGCGGCCTGTGCAGAGGGCCTGGCTGTTGCATGGAGGAGGGGCAGCGCCGTTTAGGAGTCTGTGGTGTCCCACAAACTCCCACTTTCTAGGACCAGACCCCTCACCGCGAGCCTCTTGGGCCCCCAGTCATCCTCCGTCAGAGTCACAGTGATGAACGGTGCCCCTGGTCCCCGGCCGAGCGTCAGTCTCTAAGCGCCTTCTTGGGGTAAGTCCCACATAACTCTTCATGTGACTTGCTGTTCTCCAGGTTCCTCGTTTGTAACATGGGGTAAAATAGTTGCTCTATGAGGGCGAAATGAGTGACAACTTGAAACACAGTCAGTAGAGCCAGGCATCCAGCAAATACTCAGCATGCATTATTGTTATTAGTGAATTATTCTTTATTAGTTGTTTACGAAGCCAGAGAGCAAACTCTCTGGAACCTTTTGTTTCCCCTGTGATTTTGTGGCATGGATATTCCACGGCTCAGGTAACTGCTCACGGGGCCACTGCATCAGTATTGATCTTACATAGCACATGCCGACCAGAAGCAGAAGCTCATCTCGCTACATCACCGCCCCAGGTTTCCCTTCCTGGAGCCCGCTGGTTCCTGCGCACCCACCTGCCACCTTCCCTGAAACACGGTTCAGATGGGCGACTCCTTCTCAAATGTTCTGGATAAAACTCTAATAAAACTCAACATGGGTAACAGTCTCTGCTCTCTGTGGTCTAAATAATTGAGTCATATTACACAGCAAATTCACCTTCCCACTATACCAGTTAAAAACAACCTTTGCCTGCATGTCCCCTAGACCACAAGCTCCTCGAAGGCAGGACCATGGTCAGTCTTGCGTGTCCCACCTCTAGGGCCGTGTCTGCGGGCATCTCTGCTGCCCGCCTCTCTGCCAAGTCGCTGCAGCCACACCGGCCCCACAGCGGTGGTGGGCCAGCTAGGGCGGCCTCCCGGCAGGACCGACAGAGAGATAGTGGCGGGAGCAGCCTGCACCTCCACCGTCTGAGGCGCGAAGGGGCCTCCCTGGGGCCAAGAGCATGCTCAGAAAGGAGCTCAGCTCTGGCTGGGTGTTAGTGCTGGAGGTGGGCCATTGGTCCTGATAAGGCCTGGGGTATGTTGGGTGTGTCCAAGGCAGGGAGGAGAGACGTGACATAGGCTCTGTAGTTGAAGTTAATAGAGAAAACAGCATCTCTGGATTGTTCTCCACGGCTACTATTTGGGCCTAAAAAAAATCGCTACTGCTTACCTCGTGACTTCTTGGGACCCCCGTGGCCCGGCCTGGAGGAGGCCTCATGGCAGCTTCAGGGAGGCGGCAGCTCCTACACAAGCCTGCTGACGTCTGAGCCTCAGCTGATCCCGACCTGGCCACCCAGGGGCTTGGAACCCCAAGCGATTCATGCCAACCATAAAGGTGAGCGGGTGGCAAGCCCACCCCCGCCCTGTGGGACTCCTGGGGACAAGTGTGGGTGAGGCTGAGGTTAGCTTGGAGTCAGGGAAGCTTCCAGTCCCCCGAGGAAGGGCCACTGGAGCTTGGAGTCCCTGAATCCATCAGTGGGGGGAGGCGGTGGGGGGAGAGGAGAAGGCTTGGGGTGGGAGTACTCGGTCCAGTCTTGCTCCGCGAGTGGTCAGCCGCACCTCAGCCTCTGCCTACAACTCCAGGACACCGAGGGGCAGAGGGTTTTGACCTACAGTCCACAGGGACCCTCTGCAATGAGGGGCCTGCTGTGTGTGGGAACATCCCCTAGAGGAAGGGCCCTGAAACACTTTTTTCAGATTTTTAAAGGGGCCCCTGACCCAGAAAAGTATACAGCCTGGGCACTGGGGTTCTTTCCATATGTACACCTTCTAGACATCTAAGCTTCAGGCCTCCCGGTCCTGTCTGCAGGTTCTAG